TTCAGACATTCTTAATAGCAGTCCCTGAAAAATTACTTATAATTCACTTAACAGCAGTGTTTGTCATTTAAAAGACAGTGTGATCTAGGGCACTGGCTTGGAAGCCAGGAAGTTCCTGCATAATAAGAACACTTCAGCCACTAACTTGATGTTGAATTGGTAAATCAATTCCCTGGTGTTTCAGCCAATCCACTTACAAATAAAGGTGAGAACATCTGAAACACAGGATTTATATGGCTTTGTGGTTACAGAACTCCATCCAACTACACAGGATTTTAGCTGAATTTAAAGGCAGTCCCTCAAGGGCAGAAGGGGAGCTTAGGTGAACCCAGCCTCCATTTAAGAGTCCAGGGTTGGACAGGCTGATAGAAGGACTATACAGTAGAAGGCCTGATCTATCCAGCCCATTAAAGCCAGTCATATTGCATCAGGAATCAGTTTGGCAGTCTGGTATAGGTAGTCTGGACAGCTTGATTCCCACAACTTTTCAGAAACTGACTCAACCTTGGGGAAATCCATCTGGCAGGTCAAGCCAGGAGTGAGCTAGGATTTGGGTATTTCCATAAGCTAAGGATGCAACCATTAGATGACCTCTTCTCTGTGGGATCTCTTTCCTCAACCACATCTTGGTAGCATAGTCTCTAGCTATGGAATGATATCATCTGGCTAGTCACCTTAAGGGATACTCTCATTTTTTCCCCTTTGGTGGGCTGGAGCAATATTGCTGGTCTAGCATCAGGTGAATAATGTCACAATTATAATCTGCCTAAAAATTGAACTGTTTTACAAAAATGCCCATGTGTAAAACTTGCTTCACCGATGTACTTAGGTGTGGATGAAACTAGATAAGGCAAGACCCTATGCCAGAGATGGGTGCAAAGGATCTTGAGTTGCCTGTAAAAATGTATCAGTAGACTCACTTACTGCAGCATATGCACAGATTGAGATAATTCCATAGCATGATTATCAGTACATGTACCCAAAAAGGTCCAGTGGGGGAGAGGAGGGGAGGGAGGGTGTGACTTCTGAAATATAGGTTGCAGCAAATACTCAAGTCCCATTCACTTCCATGTCCTAGCTCATCCCCTGCTGGACCTGCCAGACACTTTTCTCCAGGGCTGAGTCAGTTTCTCTGATACACGGTAGAAATCAAAGCATCCATGGGGAGTTAAGAGAGGTAGCATCTCCCTCAAATGACACAGCTGTCTCTGTAACTTCAGCTGACATGTTGTTTTGGTGGTGGCTGATATTGTGGGGGGTCCGTGTAAACTGCAGTTACGTGACCTCAGCTAACGCTTCCAGCCAGTGGTAGGCAAGGGGCCTACTCAGTTGCACATCATGAGTGAAACAAAGGATATCCTTCCCTTGTTCTTTTTATCAGTACCTAAATAAAGGGAGAAAGTTTTCAAACTGTAAAGCCAATAGATGCATGGGACTTGGTCCTAAAGCCTGAGACAAGTATAATCCCTACAGAGATGAGACTGACAATAAATGGCTATTTTGTGTGGTGGTTCATAGGCTAGTCACACCAAGAGACTGCAGAGATCTGAGAGAGAAGTTAAGGCATCAGCCACTGCACCCACGTCTACCAGATGAGCTGTTTGTAGTGGAGTGCGCAAGGGAGTTTTTTTTTTAAATGAAGTTAAACTTTCTGGTAATAGAGCACTGTGTGAGCTATACTAATGGCAGCAATATGACAGTATCAAGCCAACTCTGAATATATGCATAAACAAGTTTAAGTATCTAGTTGGGCTCAAACAAAAAGCTTGCAATGGAGAAAGGGAAATTGAGTCACCCTAGTCAAGTTGGGCACCTATACACGTGCAGGTATCTTGCTGGGATCCTATGACCCCAGCTGACTTCCTGCCCCTCAGGCAGGGGGCTGGACTCGATGATCTTCTGAGGTCCCTTCCGGCCCTAATGTCTATGAAATCTATGAAATCTTACTCCTAAGTGATAGGTAGTTCTCTGCATTTGATTAAAAGGAAAATTGAGGCAATACAAAGGATGAAGTGACGTTTGCAAGATTCCCAGACACACTTTCTCCAGTTGCTTTATGTCATACAAATGTCCTACTCCCCAACAATTCTCACCCATGTATGACCACCTATTAGTTCAGCCTTCAAGTACTGAATTTGGAGACAAGCTGGAGTCCTGAAACTGAAACACAGGTGGGGAAATATCCTCACTTACCACTGAAAAAGGTTCTGAAAGTAGGCTCTTTCCAGAATACTGGAGTGTTTCTCAAAGGAAGATTCTCATGCCTGGGAAAACTCCAATCCATTGGCATACTGTAAATGAAACACAAGAAATAGGTGTCTAAACATGGACAAACTTCATCAGTAATTTTAGATCACTAAACTAACATGTTTTGGTAACTTCAGATTGCAAAAATGGCACACCAATAAATAATCTCCTCAGATTATCAAGGAAATCCTATTGAACCTATCCTTTCCTAGATAATCTTTACATTCTTCGCCACCCCTGGGAGATTCAGTACCAAAATCTCCCACAAGATTGGGTGTATTAATAATCATTCTATCTGGATTTTTCCTGCCTTTTCAAAACACTGAGTCATATTCCATTTAGGCTAACTCTAACAGGGATTCTCCTCTGAAGGGAACTACTCGATGTGTGTGTTGAATTTATTCAGATCTCTAATGTAGGGGTGGCCAACCTGGGGCAGCTTCCATTTGTGGCACATGGCAGATTAGGGAAGGGACAACATGGTAGCAGATAGGGCAAGAAGCAGAAAGCTGGGCAGCAGATTGGGCAGGGGAAGGGGCTCAGAGTAGTGTTTGAGAAGGGTGCAGGCCTACTTTGTGGTATATACTTATTGATACAATTTCTTAATGGCTTTTATCATTTCTGTATTTTGTGCTGCTCTATTTTCAGCATGTTTGTGACTGTAGATACAACTCACTTTGAAAGCACTACCAGTAGGAATGGGCCACTCTGTGGGAAACCTACTCCTGTTCTGACTGAACAATATAGCCTGTTATAGTTGGACGGCTTTTCTACCTGTGACAGCATTTTCTGTTTTATGCACTACCTAGGTCCAGACTTTTCATAATCAAGTTGCGGTATGATTGTTCAAGGCGTTCACATATAAACAACTGTAGCCACAAGTGTGGGAAACAGTGATGCTAGACTGGCAAAGGTAGACTATAATTGTAAACACAGTAAAACTATACATGCATTGGCATTAGCAGATTCAACAGAAAGTAACTTAAGAGTCACACATGCGGATTCAACACATTCACATCTCACAGGTTGCACCTTTCTATAAAGTGAGTGTAGTGAGGTGAGACATGGTGTCCTACTTCCCCTGGAGCCCATTTCTCCCCTGACAGGATACAAAACAACTGCCTCTGATGTCAGCGAGAGTTACTTGTATCTTGCCAGAGGAACCTGGCATGCTCGAGACAGAGCTTTCTACAAACAGAAAGGATGAAGTCCAAGAGTAGCTTCCACAAACCCACTCACTCTGCCACATGCATCTACTCAGACCTGAAGGAAAAGCTTACAATGGAGAAAGGAGAGTTCAGTCACTCTGGTCAAGTCACACTGCTTCTTGCAAGCCAGGTGGTAGATTCTGCAATGTAATAGTTTGTGTCTCCCTCTTCCCCCAAATAATTCCTTTCAAACAGGCTGTGAAACAGATAATCAGATGGGAGCTTCTTTCAGTGACCTAACATGAGGCAGAATCAACCTCAAAAGCTCCCTAAACCAGGATGGGTCACGTAAGACATCTCCTTCCTTAATTTATTTACAATCTCTCTGACTATCAAGAGCTGCGATTCTGTATCTCTTCCTTTACCACATTGCACTTTCTTGAACCATGACACCAAAGGGCTTTACCACTCTGGTAACACACAAAGCAAACCTCTTAATGAGACAATTCAGGAAGGAGCTTCCAACATGACTTGAACATCTAAAAATGTATACTTTTTGCATCTGAAAAGGAGACACCCAAGCGAGAAAACCAAGAGAAACATGCCCATTCCAAGCCTGTGAATCTACCAGGGACTTACAAGAGGCTGCTTGGATGTCTTTACACTTCAGAGACAGCTGATCTGCACTCACACTGCATGTCTTTTCTCTACCCAGGGGACAAAACCACACAGCTGGGAACGGGGTGCTGTCAGCTCCCTGCACGTGGAGGCGGCCGGCCTGCCAGAGAGCTCAGGAAGTGCTTGCAGGACATGTCCTCCCTGAGGGGCCACAGCTCTGCACCCCGAGCGCTCTCACAGCATCCTTCTGCCTTTCACCCCAGAACCGCGAGCCCATCACATTTCGATGCTCGTGGCTGGTGCTGGCGCATTAGGTCCCCGAGGTGCTCCCTCGCCAACTGGTACCTGCCCCGGCCCTCAGTGCCACCCGCTGGGAAGCACCTCCCGAGCGGGTCTGAGGCGCCGCGTTCCCGGCTGAGCCCGGAGCGAGCAGGGGGCTCCGAGAGCCCCGGGGCGGCGATGCCAGGCGGCCGGCGCGCGACGACAGCCCGCCGCAGGGGACAGGGACCCGTGGAC